AGAAAGCGGCTTCTTCTTCCTCGGAGGCAAGTTCTTCTGCGCGTATGTGTAGAGAATGAAGTTTCCTAAGGAACGTCACTAGCAACCCTCCAATGACAAGAAGGACGATCAAACCTGGGTTGAGCCCTTTGCTTTCGATCTTTCCCTGTTCATTGTTTTTTAGCAACATAGATATGAAATTCAGATACAATTAACAATAAGATCAAGCGAGAGACACAAAATAGATGCTGATCTTTATTCATTATTCAGGTTTCACGGTGCTAAAAAAAAAAAAAGTTAAGACTTTGCAAGATATTTACATATTGAAACATCGGGACTAGCTTCTAAGTTTTATTGGCACTTCAATTTCACCCCATAAGGATAATGTCGACGAATTAACTTATAGTCTTATACTATCAATGGCCATTACTGCAAGAGTTTGGTAAATTAACATTAACATTTCATGGCAAGATCAATATGAGAGAAATGATCAAGTTCATGGTCATTAAACAAAATCCTCCACAATAACGGAACTCAAAGGCAAGAAATTCTCAAAAACATAAATAAAGACAAAAACTTCACCGATCCGATCCGATTCGGCTAATTTTTCATGGAATTTGACCATTATCATGTGTATTGACCAAAATGCTCAAAGACAACAAATGCTCACAATCTCAAACCTTATAACGGACACATGCATCAAACCCAGAAGATCAGACCCAAAGCAACACATAACATTAGCCCTTCTACAAAACAAAAAACAAATCCACATACATGTAACAGTTTGATAATACAAAAAAACTTATAAGTTCACAAATAGTAAAATACATAATCATTAGCCCTTGTACAAAATAAATTAGTATTTTTGGAATTTAGTCAAACTGTTGGTGGGTAAAATTATGGGATTGAAAAGAAACGTAAGAGACAAAGGAAGAAACTTGTTCCCAATCGAATAAAAAATCCAAATTCATTTCTATAAACAATAGGTGCAAAGATCATCTTCAGTAGCTCACATAAGAGAATTAAAATTAAACTAGCGATTCGAAACACCAGTAAGCTCATAGTTTTACCTTCACTAGCTTTGAAAATCAAATCAAAGAATCAAAGAAATGGAGAAATAGGGACGACGGCGGAGGCAACGGTCACCGGAATTGAGAAGGATGGCGACGGAGGCTTCGAGAAGACAAGAAGGCTCACCGAAGAAGACAAGAACTGGTCGACGAATGAAAGAAAAACCCTCGGCGTAAACTTTATAATTGTTAAGTACTATGATTTTTTGTTTCTTTATAAGTAATAAAATGACACTAGTGTTATTAAAATGAAGTTTGATGAGTTAATTGACTTTTACACGTTTTTTTGTTAAGTGTTTTTGAATGCATGCTAATCAAGTAATATGAATGAGTTAGTACTAATCTGTTTAATTTTCTCTATATTTTTTCCATTTCGGAATCAGATTCCATTCTCAGTTTCTAGTCAATTGTAAGAAAATGGAAATCTATTTCCAAAATTAATTATCAAGAAAAAATCCTGAAAGAATCGTACATACCTGTATTTATCCTTACCCAAAATACGATAGTTTTTTTAAAAAAAATTATGCATTAGTAAAGTTTTAAATGATAAAAAAATATATATGTTTAAGAACACCTTGAGAACATATTCTTACAACATGATTGAAAAAAGATTGGAAAACAACATGTAGATTCAA